AAGGAAGAGATTGTTTCATATTAACTTCATATTAACATTCCTTAACATTCCGGGCCTTTCACCCGGGAATGCTGCGTAAGTTCATTTTTATCATGAAAAAATATGCGCAATTCAGTACATTATTAATTGTTAGTTTGGTCCTTTCTGATCAACAGTGATAACAGACCTACCAAAAGAGACCAAACCTAATCATGTAATAGGAATCAAACAAGATCGATAAGTATGAAGTCAGTACACTGTATATCTGTCTATCTAAGATTGTTTCTACAGACATAACACTTAATTAGTAGATTTATATTTTATAATGAAAATAATACAAAGGATGATTAAACTTTTTTGTTATTTCTAGATATGCTTTTACAGTTTTTAGAATAAGAATTTTACTAGCAGCGAACTTTATTATGAGATTATGATTAAAATGATATAAACAACAAACTGACTTAGTGACATAAGATAATTAAGCATAAATTAAATGAATTCAATTTAGGCAATGTTAGAAATTATAAACTTGATTTTACTCCCACCGTTTGAATAAGCTTTTCATAAATGGGTTTTATTGGTCCTCCTGGCAGGAAATAACCTAATCGGCTCATGGATAATATAAATGTATTTTAGTTAATACTTGATATCTCTATGATAAAATCTTATTTTACGAAGAGTAAAAATTGATTTTTATATTGGATTAAACATTAGGTTAAACATAAAGCAATGAAATAATATTAAGTAGATACTAATTTTGTTATAAAAGACTTAAATTTAGAAAATGTTAAAACATAATAAAATTGAGGTTTGTTCTGGGGTTTGAACAAACTTTTCATAAATGAGATTTTATTGGTACTCCGGACAAGATAACAACCTAATTAACTCTTGGCCAATACAAATATATTTTACATAATTTTTGATATAGCTATGATGTAATTGACTTTGAAATTACAAACAACAACCTAATTAACTCTTGGCCAATACAAATATATTTTAGATAATTTTTGATATAGCTATGATGTAATTGACTTTGAAATTAATAAAAAGCGTTAAAAATTTACATTTAATGAGATTTAGGTAATGTTAAAACATTATAAACTTTATTTTACTCCCATTTTGAACAAGCTTTTCATAAATGGGTTTTATTGGTCCTCCGGGCAGGAAACAACCTAATCGGCTCTTGGATAATACAAATATATTTTAATTAGTACTTGATATCTTTGTGATAAAATCTTATTTTAATAAGAGTAAAAATTGATTTTTATATTGGATTAATAAAATTAAAACTCTAGGTTAAACGTTAAAAGTAATGAAATAATATTTAAGTGATTACTAATTTCGTTACAAATGACTTAAATTTAGATAATGTTAAACATGATAAACTGAAGGTTTATGCTGGGGTTTGAACAAGGTTGTCATTAAAGGGATTTTATTGGTCCTCCGGGCAGGACAACAATCTAATCAACTCTTGGCCAATAAAAATATATTTTAGATAATTTTTGATATAGCTATGATGAAATTGACTTTGTATTTTATTAAATGCGTTAAACATTTAAAGACTTTAATTTAGGTAATGTTTAAAGTTAAACAAATTAAAAACTCGATTTTAGACAATTGGTCGGAATAAGCTTTGCATAAGGTTTTATTTGTCCTCCAGGCTGGATGATATTCTAACTTGCTTTTGGTGAATACATATACTGGGTGTTCGGCTACTCGTGTTACAAACTTTGCCAGTAGATTCTGCATTCAAAATGTAACCAAAAAGTCCTAATTAACTATGGTCCGAAGTTCAGCAGTTTCGGAGTTATTCCACTTTTTCTGATTTTTTTAAGATTTCACAACCTTGCTTCAAATAAACAATCATAACTACAAAACTAAAAGTTTTGGACAAATCTGTTAATACCATTAAAACTACGTTAAATTTCCAGTAAGATTTGATCAATATTAAACTTGTAAACTTCGTTCGTGAAATAAGCGTTTTAGTAGCAAGAACTTTAAAAAATATTTTGTTTTCAAGGTTGAAAAACTTACTATGGTGATTGTAAACTACTATTTCCAAACCTAGAAATCAGCAAATTTCAACCAATTCTTCAGCCACGGTTTTTTTCCTTTCCTTCATCAATTTGTTCATCTTTGAAAAAAGTAATTAAAAAAGCAAGTGCACCACTAAAAAGGATATTAAATGGAGTAAATTTGCTGAAATTTGATGGTTTCTAGGTTTGGAAATAATAGATTAAAATCTAATATATTAGAATATTAGAATAGAATATATAGAATATTTATTAGGAAGTTATTCAACTTAAAATTTTTTTTCAGAGTTCTGGCTACTAAAACGCCTATTTCACTAACGTTTACAAGTTTAATATTGATCACATCTTATTGGATATTTTCAATCGTATCAACTTATTTGTCCAAAACTTTCTAGTATTGGAGTTATCATTGTTTATTTGAAGCAAGGTCTTGAAATCTAAAAAAATCAAAAAGTGTAATAACTCCAAAATTGCTGAGATTCGGAGCATAGTTAATTAGGACTTTTTGAGTCCATATTGAATTTAAAATCTACTGGCAAAATTTGTAACACGAGTAGCCGAACACTCTGCATATATATATATAATNATATATATTCGTTAACATTTCATATCCCTATCGCATATCCCTATGATGAAATTGATTTTATAAGAGTAAAAATTGAATATTAGATTGGATTTAACAATGAGCCTAAATTAAAATAATCGAAGAATATTTAAGTAGGTACGTATTTCGTTAAAAAATAAAAACTTCAATTTAGTCAATAATGTTAAAAACTTATAAACTTGACTTTTATTCCGGGGTTTGAACCAATTTTCATCAATGAGCTTTTATTGGTTCTCTGGGCAGGATGACAACTTCGGCTCTTGGCCAACACAAATATATTTTCGTTAATACCTGATATAACTATGATGAAATTGACTAATAATAAAAATCGATTGTATGATTGTTTTAAATATTGGTCCTAAAATAAAATAAATATAAGATTAAATGTTTCGTTAATTATCAGGCTACTTAGGCAAAGTTGCAAACCTTTCCAGCTACTCTCAATTTAGCTTAAATTCTCACTAACTGCTTATTTTTTCTTTTTGTTTTATTTGGTAAAGTGTACCTTTAAATTTACTAGCGTTTTGGGGAACAATTTATTTCCTCTACAGGCAACTTTCTAACCCTCCCCAAAACCATTAAAAATTACCAGGTACTACAATATGCAATATCTACAAAGCACTGATTAATGAAAACGTATCGAATTAAATGGAAGTCAGAAACAATTTGTTTGGTTAAATGTAAGATTAATTGAAAAGCTTGGGGGGGGGAGTACAATAAAGAAGACAAACAAGGGCCTCGAGTGTTTATGGGAAGCTTGATTAGAACAGATTGAAAACGGTTTAATGAAACTGTTAGGAGTATAACGTGTCACTGATTAATAATTTTACTAAGAACAACGCCAAGGGGAAGTTCATAATTCTTTGGAAGCATTAAAGTAGGATAAGCAGAGGGGTCGGGGGCGGAGGCGGCGACGACAAAGTGATTTAGTATAAAGCAATTAATGTGGGCCCTCAGGCGTCAGGGCACCCTCAGGGCAACAAAGCTGAAATTTCTATTATTTCTGCTTTCACGCCCTCAAACACCCTCGCACTATTTACTTACAGATTCCTTCTCTCTTCCCCCTAACAATGGGAATCTTTCAATACCAGCTGAGCAATTCCCTCCTTGCAAACTCAATTCCTCGAATTAAGGAACTGTCACTTTTTCAACCTTAGAAGGTGTTCGACACTTAATTGTTATGACTTTTAATTGTAACAGCCCATTGTTGTCTTGTTGGACCATGAAATTCAGTGAATTTAATAAGAACAATATACAAATTTTTGAGATTTCCTTTTAGAGTCTGCAGTATGATGAACATATAGTTTCATTTTGGTCAGCCGACGGATATGAGCTTCTCCTCATCTTCATTGCTAGGTTAGAGATACAAGCACAAGATACAATTTATTTGGTCGATCGGACCACGAACTCTAATGGAATTAACACTATAGTTATTCGCAAATTATTTTGAAATTCTGAGTAACTTAAAAGAAAAGAAAAATCATATCTTGGCCCTCAAGGCTAGATAGACGAAACCTATGGCTCTCAGCCTATTTTATAAAGTAAATAATAATCCACCATGAATTAATCAGATTTGTACTGATTAGATCGAAATCTGTCGTTAAAAAATCTAATTTTTTAATCAACAATTATTTCAACACACCCAGTAAAAAAACACTTAAAAATCATTCCTTGCTCCTCCATATCAGTTGATTAATTGATAATTAAACGACTTGATTGGCCCTCATCTATTTACCCCACATCAACACACTAATTGACCTGTACGCAAGGACAGTAAAAACAAATAATGTTTCATTATAAATTCATTGTTCTTTGGGTCGTATAATTAATTTAAAAAATCTGATTAGCTATCATCTTGTTCAGTAAACCGATTGATATGTATTTGAGCTAAACAATTCCCAGATTTTTCAATACAAAAATAGCTTCAAAAAATCATTCATTGGTCATCCGGGCCGGATGAGTAAGCTATGCTAAATCTGATCGGCTCTCAGCCTTTTGTTATGTAACTTACTTCAGCGAGAAAAGTTCAAATAAAAAAGTTGTTTTGGCCCTTTCTTTCTAAGATGTTTTAGCAATAAATTTATGTTTTGATACCAAATTGAACAGTTTTGGGGCAGGCCCAGTTTTTAAAATTTAGGGTGTTTTTCTAATACAATGGTTTAGAGAACTAATTATAAAATTAATAATATTTTCCCCATGTCTCATAGGCTAATGCAAAATTATATACTTTTATTTTGAAGGTATTTTAAAAGAAGAAACAGGTGTTTGTTATAAGAACTGTAACTCTTCAGACTTTTTTGGTTTTTATCTTCCAAAGGTAATTTGCCAAGAACGAAAACGAACCTTAGATAAATTCGTTTACCTTGATTATGATGATCAATTACCTGTCGTTGTAGTCTGCTTCGCATGGTCTGGTCCAAGGATTGCGCTGACGCTGAATTTGAGGGGAGGCTTGTGGATGTTGGTCGGACTGACGGTGCCCATCGTCCTCCTGACGGCCAGCTCCGCCGCCTGAGATGGTCCGGGTTCCCATCTCACTTCTCGGTCTGAAAATAATAAATACCGTTAAAATACGAACAACGGAAAACTGAGTACTCTCTTATTCAGCTATTCTTGTCCACTGATGTTTTCATATGATTACAATTAAATTGACACCAGAATCAACTATGTTCAATGATTCAACAAGATTTTCTTTCTCATTAACCTATTTTTTGAATTTAATTATTAAATAATATTTCATTAAAACGTCACACGTTTTCCTAAAAGTAACTTTCTAGTAGAATTAATCTCAAATATCATTTGGTCATGCCAGTTTCCATTTGTTTTTAAAAATTTAATTAGTGTAGCCGGAAGCAACTTAATTATACCTAACTATAATAACCAAACCATGACTTCTAGTCATTACTAAAAATGTTACTACGTATAAATTTCCGCACAGTTGCCAATTGTAGCCATTTCTTGCCAGCTCTTATTAAGAATGTCAATTCTTATCAACAAAAAGAATAACATAAATCACTGAAATGCAAGTACTAACAGTTTAGAATAATATATTTATAATTATATAGGGATTACTGAAAGGAGGCAAGGGGCTGAAGCGCAATAATGTTGATGATGATGATACAGTTAAAATATTTTTTGGACTTGTCATACAAAGTGAATCGTTCAGTGTTTTTATTATGCACTACTGATTACTTATACTATCTACTAATTATTTTCACTCATATAACATGCCAAAAATTGAAGTAACCAACGACGATAATGTCTACTGAACTATTCACATCGGAAAATCAACTGCAATCCTGTCAAAACCGGCTAATTAAAATAAATGTTCACCACCGACAAAAGATTTTTTTTGTGGATAAAGTCTGTGTGCGGAAATTTTAGAACATAAATCTCTCGAATTTCCACCGTGGACACGATGTGGAATCGTGTTTAACATCAATTATCTCGTCTCCGTTTTCCAGTTCATCATCACAGAGTCGTTAATGGACAGATTTATGATCATGTGCATCACCGCCGCATAATACACAACCAGAAGCAAATCTACTTCAGTATTAATTTCTCATGATACTAATGCTCAAAATAATATGAACATTTACTCATTATATTCACTAGTACATTTACGTTTAAATACTTAATCTAAATATTCAACAATGTTCGATAATCAAATAAAATGTTTTTCTCGCATTCTTGCTACCACTTCTTGAGTTTAAACAAATTTAGAAGTTGTTATTAACAAAATTTTAAGACCTGGAAATAATGCTTTATAAAGAAAAATTACAGTTTAAGGCTAAATGTACGTACCCTCTATCGTACATTTGTCCGCCACCACGTGGCATACCACATTATCCAAATTTATTTGCTTTCTCATTTTTATACTACTCTAAACATTTTAATTTTATAGAAAGAATTACAACTACCACCATCATAGAAATCGCATTAATTGCTTTAAAAACTTCTAAATAAAAAATGATAAACCTGTAATTTTTGACTAAATTTTTTAAAAACGAATTCCATGTTCTACCGGGGTTGTATAACCGACAAAAAATAGGAATTGCACATTCAAAATTTCTCACATGAAAATGCGATCCTAAAGAGAAATTTATGGTATATTACCTTTCACTTTTTTTTCTGAGGAAGACTTTACAAATATCAAAGATGTTTAACGTACAAATTACTTGAACTGAAATATTCCCATTCTTTCTTCCCCCTAAGAAAAATGACAAAATCTTATTAAGCCATTGAAAATTACATCCGGCAATTAATATTCATTCTTGTAGAACTGCAATTTTTATTTACAAAAAACCGCTCTAAATCTAATTAAATTCATTACCTTTAGTTTGTCAGCCCAAACAAACTTCTGTAGATAATTATTTTGTACTGAGGATTATTAATTTTGAAATACAACTAAAATATCATCGCAGAAATACTAATGACAAAATATTTTTCTGTGAAAACAAATGTATTTGCTAGTTTAATATTTATTGTAATACATACGTTAACTTTTTACGTTAGAAAAACCTTTTTCCCCATAGATTATTAAACAATAGTACATTTAAGAATGAATATTATTTTGTAAGCTATCAAAAATTTAATGCTTATAGTTAACACAGTTTGAGTTTAATGTGATTTTTGAATTATCTGGCTGTTTGTCCAGAACATCCGAAAAATATTTACCTGCCATGTACGCATGTTATTTTTAAATGTGTGGTGATTTGTGACCGTTAGTGATGATTATTTGGAAATCGTGTGATACGGTCTGGTGTAATGTAGGTTTCAGAAACTTTTTTTTATCGTGCCAACGTTTCGATCTTTATTGAAATCATCTTCGCTTACAACACAGAATATAAACGGTTCCTCAAGACAACTTTTATTTTTTAAATAGAATTTCTAATAGAGACTAAATTTTATGTTTTTTTTTTTTTTTAAACAGAATAGAAGCTAAAAGATAGATGCATATATTTTTGTATATTAAACATATTATGTTGTTAGCTTTTCAAGGTGTCAACTTCCTAGTGTACCTATGGTTTTCTAAAAAATGACTCGACCTAGAAAAAACTTTGAACCGTATTTTTTGTGAGATTTCTTCGTGCAGTCTGCTGCCTGATGAACGTGTAATTTAGTCGTTACCGATCATTTTGGTTGGCCTGTCATCTTTGGGATGGTCTGTCAGACTTGTTTCGCCATTTTGCACAGACATACCGAAGAATGAATTTCGCTAATGATGCCATAGAAGACCTTTTAAAATATATTTTTGAAAGATTGATCCTTGCAATTCTGAGATATGATTAAAATAATGCGGTTATCATTATGTGAAATTTAGACCTTCACAGATAAATTAACAAAAAAAATACTACTAACCACAACATAAAATATTAGTCAAACCTTTAAAATTACATAAATTAATTACATGAAGTCGTGCTAATCGGAATATCGCTAATCCGTATGTCCGCCTCATTCACACACTTTTACATCGATTTTTTTAGTATGAAAAGTGAAGTATTTTTTTATCAGTTAAATTTAAGTCCTACTAATGGCCATTTATTATGGCTTTGCTCACTCCAAACTATACTGCAGAATTTCATCAGTTCATCCTAATATTATGAGGTGATGGCAGTTCAGTCCTTTCCAAACGTTTTAGCCTATCATCTTTGCTTTGCTCTGTCAGACGTGTTTCGGGTTCTTCTCATCTTCAGTAGTGTGTTCAAAAATTATTATTAAAAAATGAAGATGCCGAAACGCATCCGACAAGTCTAAATTAAGAACGGAACCAAAATGATCTGAAACTCAACTATACTACCACTATTGTCCTTATTTTTCAAAACTTCCAGGTTATAATTCAACGTACAAGTATGTGTATACAAGAATTGTGTTACTGCTTGTTTCTGTATTACTGAAGTTTTTCAGCTAATCCAAATTTTTGCTAAATCTAACAGTCTTCAATTACTTGGGTCTTTTAAGTGTATCAAACAATGATTTTTAACCATTTTAATATAATATATCATATTTATTTTTTACGGTGCAACGCAAAAATTTCTTATTTACTGCCGGTACTTTTATATTATTGTACGTGTTTACCAATATGCCAAATCCATAGATTAAATAAATTGTACAATTTGAGTGACTAATTGGACGATTTTGGATTCTTACAAAATCAAATTCTGTTCGACCTAAATTTTGCCCGATTTTAAGTATCATATTTCAAACAAATTTTATTTTAAATCTCAACCAAATCGTGAAATTGTGGCTACATACATTTTTATTTCTTATAAAATTTTTGGCTTTTTTAGAAGGTTTGATTTTTTACTATGCAAGTTTAAATCTTTCGTATATTTATTTATTCGCGTTCCTAAACTCGTCCACAACATGCATGTTTTTACACAAGTTTCCAGTTATCAAAAAGAGAATTTTATATTTGAAAAGTTTGTGTTTTAAGCCGCTTACAATATCTACAGTCCTGTCTGAAAATCCTAATGCAAAATTTAAAAGGAATGTCATATGTCAAGTTTTAACTTGTAAGAATATTTCAGTAGTTATCAAACAATAAAGAACAAAAACAGTTTCGAATCTTATGTTCTATTATACTTCTACAGTAAACTGTTCTCTATCTATTTTTTTTTTATATTTGCATATATATATAATATGTATTTAGATTTTTTTTTCTATCTAGAACAATAAATTTAAAATATACAAAAGAAACCGCGCTTACGGCTGCGATAAACATCCGTCTTCTGAGAATGATTCAAGTACTGAGTAAACAAATAAAACAAAAATCAACAGCTAAAAGACATTATGAAATAGAAATGATAAAGTGGTAAAAAGGAATTTTCTCTTAAGACTTGCGGGTCGCGGTTTGGCCATTTATTATCATTTTGGCCCGCCTATCGCTTTGTTTTACTATATAAGTCAACATCCGTGAAGCTTGTTCACTTAATTGTCGAATCGCACTGTCGGACAACACTCGGTAAATGTAATGAAAGAAATATTTATGGGATTGGGAGCAAATGTAGTGTTATAATTAATTCATCATCAAGTGCAAAATTGTATTACAGATCAAATTGTTTTATTGGAGTTTTCTTGTGTATTATTATTTAACATCTGTATAAATTTACAACTGGCATTGGTTTTTGCTGGTTTTTTCATTATTTGCAATTAGAATAGGCCAATTTTCACAGATACGTGGATTTCTGTTGAGCACAGTCCAAATAATAATTATTGTGATTACCGATTGATAAATAAAACTTATAATGGGTGTACCGGACTAATTTAAATCAAGATTGACGCAAATTGGAATAAATTATGATGAGATTTATTGACGTCGTGGTTTACTGACAAAATGGTTTTTGCGGTTTTAACAATTTATTTAAAATTGTCATGTAATAAAAAAGCGAGGGGAGATCGGAAGTGATGGATTGTACCGAAAGGAAATAAAAACAAACAATAGGGGGAAAAAAAGCGAGGTTAGGCAGACCAAAATGAGCGAAAACGATCATACTACAAAAACAAAAAATACAACGGAAAAAATGACGCTTTATTTTTACTAGTTTTTAGATATATTTGTTATTTGTTCCGGTGGTTGACCAACCCGAATGGGGTCCGTTGACCACGTGGCTCCGCGTACCAATAATAAATGACTAACCTGGCCAATCTTTTTCGTCCTGATCCGAAGGCACGGGAGAAGGATGCCTGGGCCTCCTTGTAGGGCTTTCCGGGCCGGAATCCTCCGGGCTGAGACTCCTCTCTGAGCCGAGCAAATTCTCGACCAAGAACTGCGAAGAGGCGAGCAGACCTTTTCTAAGCCCCTCCTCACTCCCTCGTCCTAAGACAGGCATCAGTACGTTGGGCAGCATCGCACTACCGCACAACCAAAAACAACAACACCAGAGTCATCTCATAGGCGGGAGGAAGAGTGAGAGAGATCTAGACCAGACGCCGTCCCAACCACCACTGTGATCCCACCACTAAATACATTGGGGGTTGGGAATAATCTAATAATAATACCACTATAATCATACAGGGTGTAGACCCTTATTGGGGCTAAGCTCGTTTAGTGGGTTGGATTTTTGCAGTTAGGCTCCGCCCTCCGACAGAGCCCCCACCACAGGCCGCAGCCCCCTCCAGCCGAGTGTTTCTGAAGGCTAACGTTTTTCAGTCCGACTTCATTTATATTGTTAGCTCCAATTCTTTTCCGCACCATTGTTGCCTGTATCAATTTCCTCTTCTCCGCCCTTATTATTCAAGATTAAACACCCGGAAACATTATCCACTTAAACGTCTTCTCGACACCCCCTTTCCCATTAATATAAATTATTTCTCCTTCCATATATTAATCGGCTTTTTACAGCCTTCTTTCATTACCACCCTAACCATCTGATTTAGAATAAAATCGAAAAAACACGATACAATAAATATCAGATTCCGTTTTGACTTGTTGTTCGTCGTAAATTACACCTCGCGCTTATTTCAAACCAATTTGGATGATAATTAATAATAATAATTTTTTTTAGTGACCAGTTGTTTAATAATTTGTTGGATTTTTGTGGACTGTTCAAACCGACTTTGATTTTGACCCCTCCTCACGAATTCAACAAAATAATAATAATTCGAGTGATTTAAAGGAGTTATTAGGTCCCCATTGTTTGTTTCGAAGAGCACTTTTCAGCTTTCTTAAATTTATTGGAATTTATAATGCTATTTAGGCCTTTTCCCAAATTCTTAAACCTTTGAATGTTTGGCTGTTAGTGTTTCAATGAGAGTTGTGCGAGCGAGATTTCTTACTTTTTTTAGGCCCTCTGATTTATAACAAAAGCGAAAAAACACGAACACACACTGAGTATCAGATTCCGTTTTGAATTGTTATTCGTTTGTAAATTACTCGTGTCGCTTATTTCAAGTCAGCTTTATATATTGTATGTAATATATGTAATGTAATGAATCTCAAAGAGTTTTAATTAACGCTTATTTCTCTTTTTTCCAATCGTATGTCTATGCCTTATTGGTCTGGGTCACTCTAGTCATGCCAAACTAATCTTCAAAAAAGAACGTAAAGCTAAAAGAATTTTAGGGAATTTAAAGTATAGGGAAGGTTGCAGAGAAACATTTACTAAATTAAACATTATGACTTTGCATCTTACAATGTGTAATGTATTGTTACAAACAAAGTGAGACTGTAAAAAAATTTAATTCTGTACATAAACAGTATACGAGAAACTGTACGAAAATAGTCCTTGTACGACTGGACTTTAAAAGATATGAAAACTATTGTAAAATCGGGCTATACAATTTTTTAATAATCAACCAGACGATGTCACGCTGCGAACTGAACAAAAAATTTAAACTTAAAGTAACAAAATTCCTCACTGTTAATGCCTTTTATGGCTTTGAGGAGTTTTTTCATGTGATAATAGCGGGATAAAAATGAATTAATTTGTACTAATCTTGACGAATGTAATGACAAAACTTGTATTTTGTTTACTTAACACAATATAACTTTTGTATCTTTGTATCTAATATTGATGATAATTAATAATAATGTGTGTTTTTTTTAGTGACTGGTTGTTTAATAATTTGTTGGATTCGTGAGGAGCGGTCAAACCGGCTTTGATTTCGACCTCTCCTCACGAATCCAACAAAATAATAATAATGATTCGAGTGATTTAAAGGAGTTACTCCCCAGTGTTTGTTTCGATTAGGCTTTTTTCCTAAAATCTTATACTTTTGAATGTTTGTCTGTTAGTGTTTCAATGAAAGTTGTGCGTGCGATATTTTTTACTTTTTTTAGGAATTTTTTAGGCTCTCTGATTTTTAATAAAAGCGAAAAAAACAGTAACTATCAGATTCCGTTTTGACTTGTTATTCGTCTGTAAATTCCTCGTGTCGCTTATTTCAAGACAACTTTGATGATCATTAATAATAATTTTTTTAGTGACTGGTTGTTTGTTGTTGGATTCATGAGGAGAGGTTAAACCGACTTTGATTTTGACCGCTCCTCATGAATCCAACAAAATAATAATAATACACTGATAGGCAAAAAATTCCACCCACTTGTAATATAACTTGATTTGTATATATTTTTATATATTATTCAAAGTTTCACGTTTTTTAACGTTTCATAATTGAATCATGGTCTAAAAAAGTAAAATAAATAAAAAAGTAAAATGCTAAGGAAAATGAAAAAAAGAAAAGACGAATTGATAAAATTTGTTTTAATTTTGTTTTAGATTTTTAAGTAACATTTCATCGTTGTTCGTCTTTTGAGGTATCCTATAAATGTACAAAATGTACAATGGGGTTCCATTCTGGAGAACGGGCTGGCCAGGCTAAGATGCTGATGGTATGCTACTGAAGGTACGTTGTATGCGATGGGCATTATCGTGCATTAGAATAGGATTGTCGTTGATTTCATCAAGGATTGGAAACGCGTCATGTTCCAAAATTTCATCCACACAGCGTGTGGCCGTCAGAGACCCTCCACAAACAACAACCAACTCTAAGCGACTCTCCATTGAAATTTCCTTGCACACCATCACTGAGCTACGTTGAAAAAGTTGGATCTGGAAAAAATACAGGCTTCATACCATCCATTTCGCCTTCTCCACACACTTTCACGGCCTTCTGGAGATCGTAATAGAGAAATAATTGATAACTGATTATCAATGGAATAAAATTGATGGATTGAACTGATCAAAAGAAACCACCAAATTTGTCTGTCTAGAAATTAAGTACCCTGTGGGGGTATGAAGGAGTACAGTCTAAAGTGTACTCTGGTGTAGATCTTTATACAGATTTAGATGTGCACTGGCATGAAAATTGTTTAAAAACCTTTCTCGATGAATTTGGATTATATTTTCCGTGAGTGCTTTTAGGTTACTAAAATAGTTCGAAAAATGATACGTTGTAAGAACATATTGTATGTTACAAAATACAATTAAAAAATACGTGCCCCAGAGCAAATCAGGAAATATTGGAAAAAAGAATTTCTAAGGCCGTTATTTTCGCTAGTCGTGTGTATGTGTACATAAAAGATACGAACGAGAAAAATAAAATAAAAGTATAAATAAACAATAAATTCTGACGACGTTTCAGCACAAAGAAAGTAATTAGTTGTAGCCTGAGGTAATGAGAAAAATTTATGTATGAAACGTTGCCGCACTTTTTCTATTGTTTCAAATCTCTGGAAATTTCACATTACTCAGCAGATGTTATTAACAAATCAATGAAAGTTTGGAAAAACAATCTAGAAAAAAATTTATTTAGACAAGGAAAAACAAATTTTTACCTAAAAGACAAACAAACTAGTGCCAATACTACACAAATATGAACTACGTAGACATTCGGTTCAAGACATGTTCGGCACGGTATAAGGTTCGACCAAGAAACTGTGATTTTAAATATAAAACTATAAAAAATATGCTAATCTTTTTGGTTCAAGTAGGAAGATTTAGTGGTACAAAAAACCGTCAAAACCAGACAGAGATTTGAGTTTCAGTAAAAAAAAAAATCAGGAAACAGTGTGAAAGGACTAAAACGATAACGAAAGTTTGATAAATAATTCACATAATCACCTAATAATCGTGTAATAGGCCGCATGACTGCTAAAATGATCAAATATTGAAATGATTTAGGTAGATAACATTACAAACCAATAGGCTGTAGTATTTTGAAGCAAATTTCATGAATTAAGCATAAGAATAACCTAAATATTTTTTTAAATCTGTCTTATATAAATGCAATATAATAAAGAAAAACGAAACCCTTGAAACGTTTTAACAAATTATTAGATTTTAATGCTATAAATATATTCCAAGTTACTTTTTTCAATCAATTAATAATTCTTTCTAAGGTCTTGGTTAGGATAAAAAGAAGTCACGATAGCTCAAGTGGTAGAGTAACGGCGTATTTAGCCGAAGGTCGTGGGTTCGAATCCCGCTCATGACACTGACGTTTTTTATCTCAACCAAGACCTTAGAAAGAATAATTAATTGATTGAAAACTATAAATATATATTACTTTAACCAAAACTTACCTTTTTATTTAAATGATAGTAGCTTCACTAAAATTTTTAATTTGTTTGCTTAAAGCTTGACAAAGCTGATGGTTTACAACTATAGTAACATAAAATTATGTTCATTTTGCCTAATGTTCTGGGTAAGTAAGCAACCCACCCCATTTGTGACCAACAAATACTTCAGACCTTCCCTCTAAAAATATATGCGTTTATATGTACATTTACAACCATTTGCTAATTGGTCGTTTCCGATCTACATATTGGGATTTCCTATTCTCACTGCGTTGGCCTGACAGAATCCTTTAGGCATTTCGCCATCTTCACTGTGACTCTGTCAGACCAAGACGGAGAGAATAGGTAGACAAAAATTATCAATAACAACAAAATTTCGTGTTTAGATAGAGAAATCTCTCAATTTATCGTGACTACGAGATTTCCTTTTGGGTCTGCATAGTGATGGACGTGTAGTTTCCGATGTCTATGCCATCGACCAACTTTTACTACTGTATGTAATAGAGCCTCGTGAACTAGGGTTCCCATAAAAACAAACGAAAAACAAATAATGCTTTTGTACGAACGTCGAGCTTTTGCCGATATATTTAATCTTTTTCAGGGTCTACTGGGAACAATCTTAATTAATTTTATATTCATATAAACATACCTTAGATTGTTGACAACTTACAGGAACGTAGTAAAAATTTAAAAACGTTTACATGTTAAATAAACAGGTTTGTTCTGGCAGACTGTTTTTGGTTTTGGCATTTTTCCGTCTGTAGAGATGGTTTTGATGTAACACTTCGTAAAAAGACGTCATTAAACTGATTTTTATGAAAGACTGCATGTTTTAGAAATCGACAACTCAATCAAACACACGCGCACATGCAAATCAATAATCAAAGAAAAAAAAAAAGAAAAAGAAAAATAATAGAAGAAATGAAAACTTTCATTTTATTCAGGCGTTAGAAACATCACCGCAAAGACCG